AGTCCGCCTAGCTTCTACAGTAGCATCAACTTCCCTCTGCTACCGCTACCTGTTGCCTTCGATCTTAGCGGGCAACATCAAACAATACGTTGCGGGAGTTGCCCAACCATCATTAAGCAAAATTTTGTCATCGCGCCCATAGGGCAGCTCGTTCCAGTCTCGTCGTGGTTGGATGTTGGATGTGGCGTGGGCAGGCATCCTCTGCGCCGCAGGCGTTGGTCTAATGTTACGCTGGATGGTTGAGTCTAGTCTCTCTGTGGTGAAAATTTGAGGCCCAGTACAACCAAACCCATGTGATCCTTGAGAGCTGATTCAGTCACTGCGTTAACCTCCGCAACCAGATGCCCTAAACTTCACCTAGTGGGAGCATGCGGGTAGCTCGGACCAACCTTTCGGGCTACATGGGCTTACTATTTGTGATGTTTCAAGCCGGCAAACCCACAGCATCATGAAATAAACCCTGAACAAATCTCTACACAGCCCTCTGATCCCTCTGCCCTCATCCTCCCGACATCAAGGGGCGCTCCGGGCTCCCGAAAGCCGAAGCCGGCCTTGCTCTCGGGAGCAAACGACCGTGAAAGAGGAAGCGGTGCTACGAAGAGCTCGCGAGCATCCCTTGGGTCGTAGACCACTCTCACCTGAGGCTTGACCAAATTTGACCAAGTTGAGGGTTCGAGCTCAGAGGCAGGCAAGGATTTGAGAGGAATTCATGCCAAGGCGGGTGTCAGGTTTTCTGGCTGCTGTCAAACCCCGACCCGCTCTCCAGCTGCTCCAAAACGAAGACTCCAAGAGGCCTACGCCAAACAATGGCGCCTTGGCAAAGAGAGGCTTCTCCAGCGCCCGGCTGAGGGCTGAGATCGGATCCAGTTTCTGCTTCTCCTTCTTCCCATCGCTTGCCTCTGTGGGCTCCATGATGGTCTTCCTGCATCACGATTCGGGCTCCCAAAACATGCAGCCTCCAGCATCGTTGTCGCACTCTGAACCAACTCCAATCCTGCAAATCCCCACTAAAACTCCGAGCTCAGCCAAGCATCAGCATGCGGGAAGAGAAGCCCGACATCAGCCTCGTGATTGAACGATAGCACCGCCCCATCGACAAACATACTTCCAAAACCAGCGATTTTGGCGCAATGTGTTTCGGCTCTTGCAACATTTACAGCACAGCTCAAGCCCTTGTCATCACATCCGGAGCTTGCTGGGTTTGAGGACAGGGTTGGGGATCCTCAGTAACCCTCAACCTGAAACCCTCGGCAGCCGAGCAGCACAACCCCCGTCTCGTTGGCCAGCGCGGGTGCCCCGTCTCCACCCCGGAGGTTCCAAAACACCAGCTCCGGCATTTCGAGCCCAAACTTCCTTGTATTTCTAAGGGGAGTCTTACCAAGTTGCTTCAGGAAGTGTGGTTGAGTTTGGGATGGCCAAAGGCTTCATATGTTGTTTGGGTGTAAGGTCTTGGGGCTGTTGAGGTTTATCAGTTGCCGGGTCCTGTGTGTAGAGCGTGATGACAACTCGGCGAAGCCCCAAAGCCCCGAACCCCTTACCCAAACATCAGCTCCAAGCCCCAAAGCCCTACACACGAAAGCCCGAAGAAAGCCTACAGCCCCAAATCTCTGCCCGAGCTTCTGGTATCGCTTTTGCACCTTGCGCAGCACAGCCATGTCGCCGCCGGCATCTGCAAATTGCATGTCGGAGAAGACGACCTGGGCACACGGGCCCCTTGCAGGCCAGAGATTGGAAGCTTCAGCTTTAACAAGGCTCTCGGCCTGAAGGGTTCAAGAAAGGGAGGATTGCGCAAACGCATCCCAGCAACCACCTTCTTGGGAGGCGTGTCGTACTTCTCCAGAAGTTGGAAGACCTCGACAGAATTGCTCATGTGTTTAGACTCTCACTCTCTCGGCCACACAGCTAACACCTTCTCGAACATCACCTTCCTTCGGCATGTCGACCCCTCATTGTGAGGTTCTAGGCTTTTTGCAGGCCTGTCAATATGGGTATTTCCCAAGATAGGGGTACCTCTTTTATAAAAAGAATACCTTACAGGGAATCCCTTACTGGGACCCCCCAAAAAGGGTACCGCTCTTTTCGGACACCCCCCCATGTGCTACCTAACCCTAAACCCTAAACCCTAAACCCTAAACCTTAAATCCTAAACCCAAACCCTAAACCCTAAACCTGGCCTTGTGAAAGTTGGTGCTGCCACCCCAGTCCAACCTGCGCACGAAGTCCCCGAGCTTGGCCAGGTCCTCCGTCTCCGGCAGTGCCACTAGGCGAGGCTCCTGGTCCCCATGTCGAATTACAGAGTTAGGGCTTATTTCGGGTTTAGGGTTTAGGGTTTAAGGTTTAGGGTTTAGGGTTTAGGGGATTCAGTTCGTAGGGGCGTTGATGAGAAGGTTCTGTGCTTGCCCAGCATTGTCTTTCATCGGCAGAGTTGTCCGTGCAGAGAACTTATCCCGATACCGGGGGCTCTCACATCCTCGCAAGGTCTCACGCCCCCCCCCCGCCCTAACCCCCATAGAAGCCCAAAGCCTGAACTCAAGCAGTCCCCGTCCTCATGGAAGGTGATGATGTGGCGAGCATAAGGCCCCGAGGCAGCCTCTGCCAGAAGGAGGGACCTGGACTTGGTGTTTGAATGTGTTTGATGATTCTTAGCTTCGAGGCTTTGTGTCCTTTTGGGTCCATGTAGGTTTTCTCTCGAGGCTGCATGCGGCTTCAAAGCATTTAGGTTGGTGTGCCTTGTGCCTTGCCCTCAAGAGGGCGTAGCAACTCCTCAGGACTCTTCACGGCAGCTCAACCCCCCAGCCCTGTGCCTTCTGGACCCATCCTGAGTTGATGGCTGTACGCCGGTCCTCTCCCCTGTGCTCCAACTCCTCTTCCGGTCACTAAACTCAAAAGCCCCCAGCCCCAGAGAGAATCCCAGACCCATGAACGCGAGCTGAAGCGGCATGGCAACGGACACGTCCATGCAGCTCACCTCCAGGGTTAATCACTATTCTCCTATCGCCTCCGGGTTGGAGATTTCGGGACTCCGATTTATGGTTTCGTTTATGCGCGAAAGGGGGCTTAACACATTTTTACATCGCTTGAAAAGTTACATCCTGGGCAGCTGCCACGGAAGACCGTCGCCATCCGAGACGCCCTACGTCACCTCAACTGACCAGGCCCTCCCAACTTTAAATAGAGGGACATTTGCAATCCCCGGACTCGAAACCTGAACTGATATCGGAATCGTCGCGGCTCGTCCCCAAAACCTACGCGCCCCCACGCCTTGGGGGCGGCATCGGATGCCATGGAGCCGGAGACGTCGCACACCGCCACACAGTCCTGCTCCGCGTTCAGGCAGGGGGGTTGTGGCTTGGGGCTTTAGAGCTGAGGGTTCAATCAAAGCACCGCAAAATCTCAAGAGCCTTGGGAGTTCTTTGGAGCTATAGCTGATTCGGGGACTCTCTTCTGCATGTACATCAGATCAGTCCCATGGTCAATTGTAGAGAGGGGGCTCTCATGCATCGCAGCTTCTAGAGAGGCAGGATGCTCTTGATCTCTCGTGGGTGCACACCTGCTTTTGCCCTGTGAAAGCGAAACTCTAACTATTCAGTAGAGACTTCCCAAGGGTCTGTAATTACATCCTGAACCATGTAGTATAGGGGCCTTAATAATTGAAATAGGTTTTTTTTTTTTTTTTGGGGGGGGGGGGGGGGGGGGGTATTCAAGTATATTTTTAAAGGTGCCATAATGGAAGACGATTGGTAATTATTCCGACCCGAAATTCTCCTGCAGCCCGCCGGTCTTTGCACGCTGTACCAGACCGCGCCACTGCCCTTGGGCCAAAACCTTCTCGAGGGGATTATTCCGGATGCCAGCTGCTTTCTTCAGCAGCTGATGAGGCTGCAAGGCACCTGAGCTATGCGAGGATGCAGGATTTGGGGGGCTCTTACTTCGTTTCGGAGTTCAGAGCCTCCATTGCAACGGGAGATTGGGCTGCGCGTCGCGCACAGGAGCTTGGAACCCTCTGCGTTGCTGCGCACTTCAGAGCTCCAAACTCGCAGCGGTGCCCGAGCACTGTGCCCGACGTGCTCGAAAAGCCAGCATCTCCCCTGACCTTGGGCCTTCTGGACTGTCTTCTGGGCGAAGGTGCTCCACAGCTCTATCCTGAACTTCCGTAAAACCCTAAACCTTGAACTCGAAACCTCTGAACCTACATCCCGCCAAGGCGCCTGTGTTGACCTTGACCTTCCCAGCCTCGACCAAGGCGAGGAAACGTCCGAAGCGGTCCGGGTCGTTCTGCTGGAAGCTTCGCGCGTTGTTGCTCCTGGGTTTTAAGGTCTGGTGCCAGTTGATGCCCTTACGTGCTCCAGGAGCCTAAGCCCAGTCGAAGGATTCCTGGTTTAGAATGGGTCACATTGAGCTCTTATGACGTCTAATTAGGATTCATGTTCGGCAAGCGGTGCTCCACGTGCCGTTGCCGGCACCAAGTCCAATCTCTTTCCATGCAGACAAGTCGCAAGCATTGGGCAGGCACCCTCTTGTACCGGATCTCTGTCCACCTCTTCTGACACCTGTCTTCGCTAACAACCATGCGCCAAAGCCCAAGCTACATGAGGTCCTGAGGTCCCAGTACTCCTCTCAAAGCATCTACGCAAGCCTTGGAAAAAATGGCACAGCTCCTCGTGTTCGCCATCGGTACTTTCTCTCCCTCACCCAGCCCCCGCCCTCACCCTCACTCTCCTTGCTCCACGCCGGTCGCGCGATGGTACTAAGGCGTGCCGCCATCCGTCGGTGAACAGGGGGTGCGCATTTTATGTTTCCACACGGGAAGTCCGCCTTTTGCAGCATCCTGATCCTCAGAATCCTGAAACCTTCCCGACCCTTATAACGTCAACAACCATGCAAAAAGCCCCAGGGTTCAAGGTTCAAGAAATCAGACTATATCCTTGCCACAAAGATTGAGGTATATTGAACATGCAAGGCACATAAGCCGCTCAGGCGACTTCATGTACTCCTTGAGCTCAGACAGGGAGCGCCGCAACTTGTCCCGAGCGCGGTAGGCATACCTTCACAGCAACTCTCGGTTTCTCCCTCTCCCTCTCTATCTCCCCCTCTCTCTCTTCTTCTTCTCCTCGTTTAACCACTTCTTTTGTGGGAACGCGCTTCTTGCCGAGGCCGAGAACCTTTGTCAGAAACACCTCAAGCCATGTCGATGTGGACATATATTGGACCATAGCGGCGCTCGAAGAAGCGATTGTGGGGTCTGCATTGAATCCCCCGAACAAGCTCTCAACCTGCAGCAAACCTGTAGATCCGACATCCGTAGCACAATGGAAATTCTGCCGTGCACGCACAAGGCACTCACGCTCGGTGCAGCCATCGAACTCCTTCATGGAGCTTCCCTTTTCAAGGACTTGACCCCGGCACCCTTGTAAACCCTTTCAACCCGAATTGAAGGGGAATTTGAACATGGGTCCTTCGCATCTGCGGGGTAGAGCCATCGTGCAATGGCTTCGCAAATGAGGGTCCGCCGGTCGAAGGAATGGTACAGCAGAGGGCACCTCGGCATTTCAACGTTCACGGCTCCAGGTCTGGGCTCTCAGACGTTCTCCGAAGGAAATATAGGTGGCCAGGGCGGGGTGTCTACCAACGATCTTCGGTGAGACTAGTCTTTTGAAGTCTTTAGGGTTTAGGGTTTATCCCTGCTTTCTCGGGATCAGTCGAGTGTGAAAGTCTGGTAGCATGCGATCCTTCAGTGGCGATCTGCACAGCCCTCGTCACAGCAACCGTTGTTCTCACAGTCTGCTTATTGCAGGTCTGGTGCTCAGGACAATAAGATGCGATGCTTTCGGGGGGGCTCAAAGATGGAGGTTGACCGCAATTTACTGTTAACCTAGCAACACAAGCCCTACCTGGCCGACCTGGCCGACCTATACGCATCTCTCTGCATGTATCTGAAAAGTGTCCAAAGCTCTGTGGCCGCAACGTCCACTTCGACCAATAGTAATGCCACCATAATAGTACTAATAGCAATAATTGTAATAAACTACTACTACTACTACTACTACTACTACTACTACTGCTACTACTACTACTACTACTACTACTAATAATAATAATAATAATAATAATAATTGAAATAATCGTAAGAATCGTCCCGAAATGACAACAATGGGGACCTCCAATCAACCACGTGATTCGCCCACACCCGGAACAGGCTCTCAGCCTGGGCCCACCGGATTCCTTTAAAAAGTAATAATAGCAATAATAGTAATAATAGTAGTAATAGCAATAATAGTAATAATAGCAATAATAGCAATCATAATAAAAATAGTAAGAATAGTAATGACAGTAATAACCGTATTATTATTTAAAAAAAATCTCAACAACCCCCAGAGCCTCAAATGAGTCTTGAGCCATGGCTCCACTTCGCGCAGAGGCTGACCCGTTCACCCCGCCTCATCTGCGCATGGTCCGCCTTCAGGCAGGGCGGCTCAAGCTTTGGGGAAACCCTAAACCCTAACCCTAAACCCTAAACCCTAAACCCTAAACCCTACAAACCTACAACCCTAAACCCTAAATCCGAAAGGATTGGGTTTCAAGGCAGCTCAGGGGCTTCGATCAAAGACTTGTTTGAGAGAGTGGCGCTTTCAGGCTTTCAGCGTTGCACAAACCTTACCCGGAGTTTCCTGAAGCTGCCGCGCAAAGAGCTGCCCCACGCGCTGGAAGAAGGCGCGGTATAACCTCAGTGTTTGGGGTTTAGGGCTAAGGGTTTTGGGGTAGGTGTTTGGGGTGTAGGGCTACGCAGAGGCCGCATGCTGAGAGTGTTCAGGAATGGGTTTTGGAACTTGGGCGGGGTCCACGAAGACAAAGCCGCGACGCCACCGAAAAGCATCCCAAGAACATGGGGCAAAGCCTGCAAAGCCCTCTTCGCTTTGCCAGGGCACGGGTCAGCATCGTACCGCTTCCTGAGCTCGCACGACTCTAGATGCGACAGGGTGTTGTGACAGGCTGCCTGATTCGGCCTGGTTTCATCAGGGAGTTTAGCGCTCGCTTGGGACTGCTAAACCTCAAGCCCAAATACCAGAAGGTCAGTGTCTGTCATTGTTGCTTTAGCTGACTCTGAGATACTCTGAAGTGACACTAAACACCCAAAATCTCGAGTCGGGCGTCAGGGCTTCCTCAGCCATCTCCAGGCGCGAGCCTGGTGTCAGGCAGGGCAAGTCATCAGCTTCCTAAGCATTCGTACATTCTGGTCAGGCAATCCTTGCAGTCATTCAGACTCTATACAAGCAAACGTAGCAGTAGCGGTTGCCACATGTCGTCATCATCGTCACAGCAATGGTGGCCAAGGTGGGTGGGGGCAGCGGTGGCCGTCGGATCAGTCGTGACAGTCGTACCAGTCGGGGTGGGTAACAGGCATCGTTTTGTGTCTCAGTCGTAAACAGTCGGGGTTTGCAGCAGTGCGTTTCCCACCCCCCACCCCAACCCCCCCCCCCCACCCCCTGCCCACATCTCGCCCCCCCCCTGCCCTCACCCCCCCAGCCCATCCCCCCCCAAACACGCTTTTTTCCTCCGCCCCTCCCCACACCCCACCTGCCCCAGCCCCCTGGTTTGGGTTGGCTTGTTACAGAAGCTCAGGCCGAAGCGGGTCGCTTAGCTTTAAGTCATCTTCGTAATTGCCGTCAACGTCGCTGCCACTGTCGTAGTCGCAGTCACGGCAGTAGTCGTAGTGAGGCTTCAGTGATTTTGATATAAAAGAAGCGTTGGATGGTTGTTAGCCCTCACCAGGTGGGTGATCATGCTGTCGGGCAACGAGTTCCGGAATCGGGGCAAGTCCAAAACACACGGATGTAAATGCTGGTCTCGTTAGGATGACCCTGCATGAACATTCGGCTGGGCGGCGTATGATGATGATTTGAGTTCTTGATTTCTCGTGCAAGCATATGTGAAAGGCCATAGACAAAACGATCACATTGGATGTTGAGAACTTTTTCGCCGACGTTCAACGGAGATGCAAGATGGCGCCGATACACCCCCTGACCAGGGGCCACCTTCCTTGCTGGACCACACTTGGAAAACGGTTGCGCGCTGTTGGACTACACTGTCATAAAGGAGAACAGCACAGCGGGCTGGCATGATAGCTCAGCATCTGGGTATACATGCCAATCCACATGCCAATCAAACGGCACTTGTGAAGGAAACAGCCCAGAGGGGCTGCCGGGTTCTTTGATTCTCTGCACAACCCCTTTGTCGGACAGTGGGAGCCTTGTTTCTGTGCTCGCAGTGTTTGTACCCCAGGAGAACAACATCCCTGTGGTTGCAGACGCGTGGTGTGATTGCCTTACAAGGACGACATGTCTGCCATTTCAGATGCCTTCGTGACCGGCTGCGTGGTGTGGATGACAAGGCGGCTACCACCCCCCCGGGCTGCAACATCCAACTGTTTGTTTTTCTGGGAACCACTGCCGCCCAGTTTGAATTTGTGCATAGGCTGGGGCAGATTTTGTTCTCCAGTGGTGGTGCTACAGGCATGGGCACATCCTTGAGTGGCTCGCTGCAGCTCGGATGTCAGAAATGGGGAGTGGTCGTGGTCGTGGTTGTGGGGTGTATGGTGGTCGCGGTAATCGGCGTAGGTCTCCATGTGCTCTTGCGCCCGTGGGCTTGCATGCAAGAGGTTCAACCGCAACTCATGACGATTTCATGTTCCTGAGCCATCCTGAAAGAAATATACAAAAAACACTATATGACATGTGAACAAGTACGACTCACAGAATTGAGCATGGCCGAATCAATCTGCGGGCTGGCCTGGCTGAAATGTGCCACCGTGGTCGGCACCTCGTTTGCCTTTCCCGTCGTGCTTTTTCATCTCGGCATCCTGGGCCAAGTACCTCAGGCTCTCGGACAACCATGGACATGAAACTGAATTCCGTGCAAGCGCCGAGAGATGGAGACTCGGCGACTCCAAAAAGCATGCGGAAGAGGGAGAGAACGTAGCAGTGGCATGGCCTAGTGGCCTAGCGAAACTTGAACGCCTGCAGCTAACTGGGCAGAAGCCAGAGCACACCCTTTCACAGAGCGAGTTGCTTCGGCTGCGCCCTTTTTGAGCTTCTCATGTAGTGCCCGAACCTAGGCACAAAGCAAAGCGGCAAAGCATGGGTTCAGCCCCACCTAGAACCGGATGTTCGGCCAGGCCGTGCCACTAACACCGCGATCACGTGCATTGCCGCGACGTGAAGAAGGGTTTGGGAAAGCCCTGCAACAAGAAGCGCAACACGAAGATTTCCCCCAAAACAAGCTCCGAAATGTAGGGCTCACTTCGGACTTCCATCTTCAGCTTCGGGAGGGCAGCGCCACAGGAACAAACCTGAAAGACCCTTACAACCCCAATCCCTTGCGGACGCAAAATCAAGGATCTGATCTCAAGGGGTCAGCGCCACCAAAAAAACCCTGAAAGACTCAAAGACTGAAACCCGAAAAGCCTGAAACCCTAAAACCTGAAACCCTGAAACCCTCAAACCCTGAACCCTAAACAAAAACATGGGATGAAAACGGTCCTCCTTTTGCTCGCCCAGGGCGCAAGGCCACGTCCCGCTCCAGGCTCCGACGGGGGCCCTCGCAGACGCGCGCCAGGAGCTCCAGCAGACCCTTCCAGTAGTTGCACCTCTTAATCTCTCTCTCTCGCTCTCTCTCTCTCTCTCTGCGGGTGTGTGGTTTGTGTGTGTGTGTGTGCTTCTTTTTTTTGCGGGGGGTGGGGAGGGGAGGGGGGCCCCCCTGCGCTTGCTGCATCCGAATCCCTTTGTTGAGTTCAGAGCTCAGCGTTTCGGGGCTTAGGGGAGTATGAGGGTTTGGGCTTTCGTGACTTTTTCGTGACTTTAGTGCTCTTCGACTCTGGGAGTCCGGCTTCGGATTGAGACGTTAGTGATGTCACTCAGGGTGCAGGATGCTGGTGCCAGGAAGTTCTGGAAGATTCTGATTGCTACCACACCCTCTGCTCCCTGTGACCGCTTCACTACCAAGTCTGGGGAGCAGTGGCTTGTTCTTGACGTTTGCCGATCACACGTACTCTGCAAGTCAACTCGATACCGGGACAACAACCCCCAAAGGCTCAACTCTCAGAAGATTCAAAGGCTGTTGGAGCGCTCGGGGACAAGGTGGAGGTTGGCGAGGACAGTCGCTGGGTCCCTTTGCCAGAGCCACAGCATGGCATCGTAGAAAGAGTATCTATCCTCACGCCGTAAGGTGAGGATGTGGAGGATGGGTCTTCTTGTGTCAGGTTTGTTTGCTTACGCTTTGGGGCTCCCGATGGCTCCTGCTACTGGGTCTCTGGCAAAACCTGCCATCACTGTTCACCTGCACCCTGCCAGCAAGTGACACGTGGCCGTTTTCAAGA